ATTTTTCACATAAAAGTTACATCCTAATGTTTTTACTAACATTTTTGCTCTATATTAAAATGCACTATTACTATTTTCTATATAACTTGTCGTTCTACTTTTTCTGCTTACAACTTTCATTCATAAAACCGTGTTTGGCTGTAAATCGGATTGGACAAATTAGATTAGGTCAAAGTAGTGCAATTATTACGATATTTTCTCGTTTATATTATATTCATTTGTTTATCTTATAAGTCAGATACCTAACGGTCTTTGCAATCAAACTGGAACATAAACGCTTTTCGCATATTTCGACATAATGGGTGTGCTTTATTTGATTAAATCGTGCACTATTTGTTAGATGTTATTCGGTTCGGGACACTTTTTTTATTGTAGACGTCGAAATTTCACGTGTAGATGACATAGCTCTGAACGCGCCTGAGGGCGCGTCCGTCGCAAAAATGATTGAATTATCATAAATATAAGAAAATATCAGTCTAATAAATGTTTCAAGTTTAAAGAAAAGAGAAACAATATGTTGAGTAACTGAAAAGAATAAAACATCATATATGAAGCAAACTTGCTTAGCAATATTGTCAAGGAACTGCTATGATTATTAAATAAGTAAGTATTGTCTGGCAATATTGACCTGAGACTCATTAATTTTCGGGTGGTGTTTCGTTAGTTTACGTAACTTATTATGATTAATGCTAAATATTTTATTGATAGTATAGATCTCGATATTAAATCAATTAATATTGCTCGATTGCCTAGTGGTGGAAAGTATGACGAAGTTGTGACCTAGTACGCCAAGTTCGAATCTTTGAAAATCCCTTTTGCAGTTTTCATAAAACTATTTTTTTTTATTATTTCTTTTAACTGTATGAAACATAAGTTGATAAATCGTGTTTCATTTCTAGCATTTTTTTATTTCATAATTTTGACTAATTTTATAAGGCGAGTGATATTCTTGTAATTCTATTTGTAATTCTACCTTATACATATACCGTTATACCAGACATCGAAATCCTTATTGTATACTTCAGAATCCGAATACCGCCAAATAATTAACGGTCATCGAATATTTGAAAATATATATGTTTTAATTATTGCATGCAGTGATTTTTAACAAACTCACCAGTGTAGGTCCTAGGACTCGCTGGGCTATAAATATATGAGTCCCAAAATTTAGCCGACAAATCCAAGTTACAAGGCTTAATATTGCTTTAGTGATATGAAAGGTATATTAACAATAAAAGAGAGAAAAAATGAATTTGATTTATACATTAATTACAATGCTTCTAATACTGAAATTATTCAAAACTGTCAAGTAATTTAATAAGTTTATTTCCATTAATTAAGTTTGATATTAATCAAAACTTCATTTTTTATGCTTATCTTCATGCAGTGTAGCACATTATTATTTCTTATCTGTAGAAGATTTGCAGACCTAGAATATGATTGACATAACTTGAACACAATTTGGTATTTATTACTGTCCAAAAGATGCAAATATTATTTGAAACTTTGCATCAATAGCAAATTCATTGAGTTCTGGACTCAGGATACAGAGGTAGAAAAATTACTGTGCATGAAACAATGCAATTCTACCGTAAAAGTGGTATCTGCATAAAAAATATTATTATGCGCTATCGAAAAAATAAATAATTTTGTTGAAATCAATATTCCTGTCGTTACATACGATATAGTTAACGTTTAAATGCCTTTCATTTCGATAAAATATCAAAAACAAAAAGATATTTTATTAGTTTTCTTTATGTATCTAATACGATTCTGGATCCGTACCGTCATATCGAGCGACGGAAATAGGCGGAATATAACGAAGACGACGATTACCACTATTTATTTCAATAAATGTGCCTCTTTATCATAAATCTAATTTGTGATGTTCAACCTAAACTAAACTATTGAACGTTGACAGAAATGGCCATGTTTAACCCTTTACCAAGAAAAAATGAAAAGGTTTTGAAAACTTATTCTTTAATGTGTAAATTATGAGTATACAGACCTTTCTAATGATATAAAATATGAAACTGATTAATGAAAGATAACTTTGAAATTATTTATACATTTGCATCTTATCAGCCGCGATACTTTTTGCCAACTATTCACTAGTAAAATGGTTTCCTGCGGTGAACATTTTAATGATATTAAGATATTTCATTTAACTATTTCAACATTATTAGGGGGGGATAAATAAACGTTTGTATCAGGAATAGAGTTGACAATAATCGATCAATATAGAAGAAGGTCTTTGGAAACTCGTGACCGTTGAAGACCGGAGAAGGTCGAACATAAAACAATTATTTCTTTTTGAGCAAATGATTAAATAGGCCTACCATTTTATGAATAATTCCGAGCAAAAAGTAAATAAAGTAAACACCCAAGTTTACGCAGAAAATATCTCTATTTATGATGGCAGATGCCACTACGAATATCTTAATTTTAATTTTCAGTTTAAACAATTTATTGTTTGTAAAATTTGAGATAGATATTAAAGAAACATTGATAATTTTCAAACACATCATTCAAGTTTTTCCACCTTAAACGGTAAAATAATTATAGAAAATTAGAAATATCACGTAATAATTTTTTGTTCTCATTAAACTGCCCTCACACATACCTCGCGACCTTACTGCGTCCTTACTGCGACCTTGCTACGACCCAGGACGCAGCACAGTCGCCATGGACGCAGCAGGGACTCAGCGAGGTCGTAGCGAGGAACCCAAGGACGCACAAGGTCGCAGACCGTCGGCGACTATTTTGAACATGCACAAAACAGTCGCAGAAACTCTGCGTTCTTGCTGAGTCCTGGTTAGGTCGCCATGGGATCGCAGTGGAGTCGCCATAGTCGCAGCAGCATCGTAGTAAGGACGCAATAAGAACGCAATAGACGTAGTACATTCGTACTAAGGACGCCGTAGAGTCACCGATGAAATTACAAGAAATTGATCGGAAACCTTTGGCGCTTTAGAGACCCTCGCTCTTTTGCCTCGTCCGCCTCTCATCTTTGGAATAATATGGATGATTTAACTTAATACTAATTAAATATACGTCTTCACTCGTTGAAGGTCAGACTCAGAATGAAATTTACTGGTAAAAAGTATTGTTTTTATAGACGTAGCAAGAACGTAGTAGGGTCGTCGTACAGTCGCAGGACAGTCGAAGGACAAACGCAATAGTCGTCGTAGAGTCGCCGTAAGGAGAACATAGCACAGTCGCAGCTGGGTCGCCGATGATCGCCGTGGGGTCGCCTTGGAGACGCAATACAGTCGCAGTGGAAACGCCATGGACGCTGAAGGGTCGCATTGAGGACAAAGAGAAAACGTACTGAACACAAGACTGCAGAGACCCGGACCGTCTGCGAGAGAAATTTGGAAATTTAATGAAAGAAAACCAACGATTTTCGAAAGAAAAATGCTATTTTACTAGTTTTCAGGTCGCAGTAAGGTCGTGGTTTATGTGTGAGGGCAGCATTAGGTATAATTCGGACTAATTCCCTACAGGTTAACCCGTAACGTACCGGCAAACGGTATTTAGCTAGGTTTTCGTAAAGGTCAATTAACCAATCATATGCGGTTTACAGATCACATGCTCCTCCATGTACCGAAAACAGGTCACGTGCTCCTCCATGCCTCAAAAGTTAAATGCGTACCAATACCCTGCGGTCTCCAGACCGCAGGGAACAAGTTACTTGTATGTCTTATCAGAAATCTGTTACTATTAATAGATTTTATAACAATAACACACAACGTGTAGTCACGTGATTCTTACAAAAGATGAGGGAGAATATGTTTATAGTTAGATAAAATAATGAAATATAATAGGTCTCATTAGATATAAACAACCAAATAATTAAAATGTGCTATTTCAAAAATCATTCATGATTTATCAATCATAAAATAGCAACGCTTGACACTTAGAAAAAAAGTAAAAGTATCCCTAAATTCAATGACTGGTCCATAGGGATACATTATTAATTCATTTTATGAAAATTGTAATGTTGCTTTTTAAGATGTCAATATTTGTATATTTCATTTCATTTAGCAACGTTACTTCATGTTTGAATTTTTAAGATTATGAAAAATAATTGTAGTCCTTAATTGTTCAGTAATTGATTTGCTTTTATATTCAGATTTTAAGGCCTTCTCCTACCATAGATATTATATTAAACTGTTACAAATATATTCGCCGGTTTCTACCGGCGACTAATGACCATAGTTTCTGTTTCCACTACGGTGTTCCGTTAGGGCCAGTGCGTCGTCGCTGAGAACGGAAAGCGCGAAATATGACAGTACGATGGTGACATTACGAAAGTAGAAAGGTGACAGTTCGATGTTGAAAATACGACTGTACGACGGACCGTCAACACCGTGCAGCTAGTATTTACTCTGTGAAGTATATTTTAGCCGAGCTGTATCTTCATTACATTTTGCTGTTAATGGACTTCCAGAACTATGACGATGAGGACGGGCTCGAAAGTCTTCCTAATACTTTCTGTTACCTGGTGTTTTTATATGATAAGCTGAGTCCCGATGTGTTTTGACCAATAATTTTTATAATGGTCCCACACAGACATATCGATATATCCGTATTATACATGTCAATCAGGCGTGGCAATTCCTATACTTAACAATTAACAAGGAAAAGCACGATTTTCAGTAAACTTAATATTTACTACAGTATGTTATAACCGATGTCCAGTCAAGCAAGTGATGTACGTTTTGTAAGTGATGAAGAAATAACCGTGCACTGCACACACACATTATGTTGTAAAATATAAATATATCTTAAACTATTTAAATAACGATTAAACTGTTAAAATGAATCGAATCGGAAATTGCTATATTCTTTTCCGTGTGTATATCAGTATATCTGTAAATTTTAGTCCCTGCAGGCGTGCAGTTTTAAACCAGTGTATATAAATAAACTAAACCCATCTGTACTTAAACAATATGAACAGTAAGATAAATCTCATAAATATTGAAACGAAATATTACCTTGGTCACACAATGGTGCCTTCCACCCATCCATGCATCCATATGTGCATTTTCCGTCAACCTTGTTACAGTATGTATTCCCGTGTTTACAATGGTCACTGCACTTCTTATAACAGTTCTGACCAGAATAATCACCATCGCAAGCTGTATAATAAATAAGAGTGTATTTTTTGTCAAATGTTTGCAAAAGCAAATGCAGCATGATTTTTATTAAATATTATAATTAACAATACAGAACAAAGTCTAATGAAAAGTTACAACAAGAATTCACAATCGATTTAAATGTTTACATTTAGCCGGTGCTAGGAGGCGTGGACGGTAGTTTGCAGTTGACAGTACCGTCCATGAAAAGGCTAAATCAAACCGAGCCTGCAAAATTTTCAATTTTGCCGTGTTGGGCTTTCTTTAGGGATTCTTATTTTCTCTATTTTACACACTTTGGTCTTGTCTGTTCAGCAGCACAACCTGACTGAGATTTCCTATCTATAGATATACATCAATAGCAAATATAATTTCTAAAGATCCAACTTATAGTTCCTACTCTGCTGATTAAAAATGCATTGGCTCGAACGTGTATGATTAATAACCATTAGTACAACTCTTTCGTCAAATGTTAAATGTTTATCGTAAAACAAATGTAGGGTGAATTGTTAATTAAAATAAAAATGTGTTAGAATTCATAAATATATTAAATAGATGAACAACTGTATATATCATGCATGTTTGTTTTTCATTTTCATTTCCCGCTATTATTGCAATTGTCAAAACAGTTTAATAAACCTTTCATGTATACCTTTACAACCGCAAGACTATCATTCCCAATCTATACTTTCTCTTTCTTCATAACATAGCCTACTAGATAACAATAAATTACTGTGACCCGTTTACATTTTACACGGAAGCAATGTTTCATTCCATTCACCATAAACGGTGTATTTTACACAACTGATGAATAAATATTGTTTATTCGGCTGCAAAGCAGCGGAGTCTTAAAACTTTGAAAAGTGACACTATTTATTTTGCGAGTATTAGTGATTAAAAACATTCACATGCATATGCTAAACATTTCGGTACCAATTTTATATAATTTTTTTTTTCAATTTATTGCAAAAACATTAGTTATTTCCATTTTTTCCATTCGACGAACAATATTTTCTTATCTCCGTAAACAAATAATGGACTGCTCATCTGGTTGATTTCCTATAATGAGTTAGCTTTTTCAGACTGTATAATGTGGAAATTTGGAATGTTCTGGAGCATTGAGGACACTTAAAAGTAAGTTATAATATAGCGCGGACACGTCTTGAGTGTGTGTTGCCTAAAATAGATATTGTAGAAAAAGATTATCATTTATATGGTAAAGCAGACTTATAAGTTTATTATTTGGTGATATTTGGTGACAATCATACATTCTGAAATTACAGATTTACATTTATTTTTTTTGTTTACTGTGTTACATCTGAGGATGTTTCAACTCATAAATGCTCAAAAACTTTCAAATATTTGGACGTCAATTGAAAAAAGAACATAAAACCACAATTTGAATTATTTAAACTATTATAACTTAAAAGAAAAATGTCGAGTTTTCTTACGTTACTCCTGGCCTGCAACATTACTATAAAAACCAATACCAAGTTGCATAAAGGGTATAAAGCTATATCTTATGAAATATTTTCATGAACTTCAACAGCAGTAGTTCCAAAAAATTGTGGTCTAATCACAGAGAATGTCTTTGTTATTAAACACACATAAATACGGTACATAAACAGAATAGAATTTTACGTAACAAAATATTATTCTGTTATTTTAAGATATAACAATGATTGCATTATGTGTCATTCGCTTCAGTGTAATTTTCTATCATTTTCACTTCATATAAAGCCTCGGTCTCACTTACTCCCGGCAGAGCCCAGGATCATCCCGGTAAGTTACCGGGATGATCCGGGACGATCCGGGGTGAAATTATTGTTGCGGTCACACTTACCCCGGCAGAACTAAGGTAGTTCTCAACTAACCACCCAGGATGCGCTCCGGATCATCCAGGCAGAGTCCAGGTGCAGCTACGGTTCATGCCGGTGCTTCCCCGGTTGTTCCCGGATGACGCCGGAAGAGCCCCGGTTGACCCAGGCAGAGCCCCGGTCGATCTAGGCAGAGCCCCGGCAGAGCCCAGGACGATCCAGGCAGAGCCCCGGTAGAACCCCGGTGGATTGAAAACGCCCGAAAATGATACCATTGATACATAATTTTTATTTGATATAATATCTAATGTAACAGAATAGTAATTCATGATGATTTTCTGAAAAATCCTTATGTCATACTGGATAGAAGGGAAATGGGAGGGGTTTTAATACCAGCAAGTGCAATCATCGCAAATTGTCGTTATTCTTTTGAAATGATCCGGGCTTTGCCGGGGCACTACCGGGATCAACCGTAGCTCTACCTTTATCATCCGGGGCTCTGCCTGTAGTTGCCGGGGCTCTGCCGGCATTTTCCGGGGCTCTACCGTAGCTCTACCGTAGCTCTGCCGGCTATATCATACCCCGGATCATCCCCGGTTTGTGCCGGCAGAGCTACGGTGCTTCCCCGGTATAACCCCGGTCGTTCCCGGCAGAGCTAAGGATGAAGCCGGCAAAGCTATACCTTCCCGGATCATCCCGGACCATCCCGGTGATATTAAATATTTTATTCCATCCGGGATCGAATGCCGGATGTTCCCGGATCATCCCGGATCATCCAGGACGTTGCCGGCAGAGTTACGGATGTACTCCGGTTGTTCCCGGTCGTACCCCGGTCATTCCCGGATCACCCCGGACGTCTACCGGGGCTCTGCCGGGGCTCTGCCGGGGCTCTGCCGGGATGTAAGTGAGACTGTAGCTTAAGCTTTTGGGAATTATAGTTTTATTTAAACAATAGTTATTGCAGAAGATACATAGCTTCATACACTTTAAGTCAGAGACTTTAAGAACAAATACAAATTTGCTGTTGTATATATTTAAGTTATTACAAGAAATGTTCTGTTAAGTGCATTTTTATATAACTCGGCTTAGTTCATTTTTTAAAAAGATGTAATTTAGGACTTTGTTAATAAGGTTATTTACTTGTTAGAAAAATCGTTTTTTAAAAAGTGCAAATCGATGCCTGATGCTAAAAATAATTTATCATTTCGTGTATAATTGAAGATATACTATGCTCAACCTTGAGTGAAATATTTTTTCATAAAGTTTTATTGAAATCTATGAAATGTTTACTGAATATGTCAAATTTGAATAATAGATGAAAAAAAAACTATGTATGGGAAGCGTCGTTCCCTATTACAGGTCAAGCAAAGTTGGTTTTTTCTTTAATAAAAAAACTGCCAGTTTTTTAAATGACACTATATATTCATATTGAGAACACCTATAGTGGGTAGAATTTTAAACTGAACATGTCTACTTTGCATGAAGTTAAAACATGTTTATGTTATATTAAAAAGAGACACTGTAACAATTTTCCATATTTCCTTATACCAAATTTAAGCATAGTATATCTTTAATCAAATTTATTGAATTTAAATTTGGATGGAACAATATCTTTTTTAACTAGTCACAAAAGTATTTATATACTTTAAGAGAATAACTAAGTTTTCTTGGCAAAATCCTGACGGTATGACGGATTTTTAAGATGTCTTTCTTTTTATTTCAAAAAAATAAACAATGGTCTGAAGAAAATATCAAAAATATGTGTAGAGAATGACAACTGATTTGAGATGATAGGATTTGTTTGTCAGTTTTTTAAGAGAATAATGACTTTTAAGTTATACCTACTGCAAAATAGTTTAAATTGATTTAGGTTCACAAACAGTATTCTACAATGGCTACTGTTTGTAAAACTAACTTTATGAAATAAGATCACATCTCACACAATATGTTTTTCATTCCGTGATAATTCTGAGATTAAATCTCATTACCTCATTACTTTAATATAACCTTGAACATTAATTTTTTCCCTACTAGCACTCATCAAGACAAAGATTTAAAAAAAAAAATAAGAAATGGATATTTTTTGGCGACGATAATGATTGCATTAATAAATGAAGGAAACAATTTTAGAAGATGAAAAAGATACTCCATCTTTTAACAATCATTCTTTATCAGTAAAACAATCGGAGTAATTCTTTCAATAATGAAAAGGGACATGTTGTTTTGCGAAAATAAAAATGTGTATAAACGCGATGGAAGTTATTTTATGTGTTTGATTTAATGCATATACTTTGGATTTGGTCATTTCTTTTATCTATATAAAAGAACGGAACGTATTTGAGGATTGTAACAAACATTAAATATTTTTTGGCAAATGTAAGCGCACATTCAAAAAACGAAATTCGAAAACATAGGCATGTTTTAAAAACGGTCTTGAGAACGCTAGGATATTTACTAAAATTTCTTGCTTATGACTTTATTGGTCCTACACAAAGCATCACAGTAACATGCATTTATGACACGGCGAACGTTTTCTTCTATGTTTTTTATTTAAGTATGCCTTACAGGAAGGCGAAAGTACGACAGTACGAAAGTGTCAGTACGATAGTACGATGCTTATTATACAACAGTACGATTGTGACAGTTCGACAGTACGATTGTGACATTACAATGGTGACAATACGACAGTACGACGGACCGTCACCATCGTGCAGCTAGTGTTTACTCGGTGAAATATATTTCAATCTTTAACTGAGCTTATCTTTATTTTGTTGTTTCTGGTCTTCAAGAACAATAACGACAAGGACGGGTTCTATAGTCTCCCTAATATTATCTGTTAAGTGGTATTTTTAATGAACAGCGAGTGCCGATGGTTTGTGACTAACACTCTTTACAATAGGCCTTCACAGACATATCGATATAAGCGTATTATGCATGTGAATCAGGCGTTGTCAATGAGTTGGTAATTATCATACTTTACAATAAGCAAAGTAACAGAACGATTTTTAGAAAACTGAATATTTACAACAGTATGCTATAACTGGGTTTCTGACAAACAATTGATGTACGTTTTGTAAGTGATGATGAAGAAATAACCATGCACTGCATTTTGGCATTTCACACTGGTATTTTAATGTGTTTTGTGTCAGAACTAAATGCCAATGAGTGGAAGGGAAATCAAGAAAC